CCCCCCCCCATGGAAAGATTTATGCTAGCTAGTCAACTTAAAAAGCCTAACTTAAGGGACAAGGCAATTTAACATCCAAATCCCTGGGAAAAGACTTTTGAGTATAGATACACCTAAAACAAAGAATCTTATTTTCTAGGGAATATGGTACATGTTATTTAATGTGGAAAGCACTGCATCCCAGCTCTACTGACTAGTGCATTAATCAAGTGTCAAGTCATGAGTTGAAGGGAAAAGACTGATATTAAGGTTAGTAGAAAATGTTTTTGTTTATAACTACCTACACAACAGGTGGCCCTGGCTCAACATATGTTCTCATGACTTGCATGCAAGTGTAATGATTCACTCAACAATTTTGCAGGGGAGAGGGGTTAGGTATGTTTTGGTTCACACACCAAGGTGGTTACTTATGAGAGTCAACTGTATGAACAAACAATGAACCTTAGCTGCCCAGGCCTACACCCCCAGAAAATAAGAATAACTAATAAATTACTGTGGTTACTTTATTTTCATTACCTTATTGTGGTGTTTTAAATGCTGGGCGATAAAGCTTACTCTTGTTACTTTTTCGCCCAATTGGTTTTCAACTGTGATCTGAAAAGACAGAAAAGGGAAAAGATATCACTAATGATTGTAGTTTGTAATGATGTCATAGAGTGCACGCACTAAATCTGTGAACATTAATTAGTACTAATTAGTACTATTTCATAGAGTGCTCCTTTGTTTTCTATTGTTTATTTATCACCATTTAGTACTAAAAGTTAGTATTTGTTTCACGGGTTGTGTGCGTGCACTATGTTTTACATAGGCTATATAGATTCCTTTCATGTGACATCAAAGCAGCTCAATTTGGAAAACTGTTTTAGATTAGTTAAAAATTTAAAATGTTGGTTAAAAAAATCATGTGAATGAAAATATAACAGTGGGATTTCAGTATTTCAGCTGATCCATTATAAAGTGTTCATCCATCTTAAGTATGGTCATTTCCTATTAAGTACCTGGTTATCACTGTCCACCTCCCCCCCCCCCCCAGGCTGACCCTCTTGATCAGAGATAATTAACATTCCTGGCCTGCAAGTGAATGCTCTCGTGCCATTGCATGCCATCAAAATGTTTCGCCAACGTTTGTTTCATCTTTTGTATTATAATTTTGCACCCAATTTAATGCTCTAAATAATAATTATGCGTTATCATTAGTATCATGTAAAGTATTCTTACCTTTTTTTAGTGGAAGTTATCCAGGCTGGGCAACAAAGTTTAGTTGTCATTACCTTTTTGCCCAAAATGTCACAGTGTTCGGTCACCAACCTGAAAAAAATAGAGAAAAGTATTATATATGAGCACATGCAGGACAATAAAGGTCTGTTTTTATTTTCAAATTTAAAGTCTTTCCCTTTTTTAAGTTTATTTTCCTCTCAATGAACAATAAAAAGACACTGTTAAAATCAAAGTTTAGTTGTCGTGACTTTTTCACCCAAAACTCTAAAGTAAATTTCGGTCATAGACCTGAAAATTCGGAGAAAGTATTTTATAATTACAAAACAATGAATTGTAAAGGAAAAAAATTAAAGAAAGTGTGTTGTCCATTGTCTTTGTTAGTTGCGCATTTACAGTATGATAAGGTTTGTTATCCATGAAAATAGTAAATATGCATTTTTTTTACAAATACCATTAGTATCCCCAGTTCTTGTTTTTTCCCCATACCCCCTATTTATTTATTACAGACCTTTTAAATGTCATTAACATTTCAAGGTCCACTGTTTTCTCACCCCCATCCACCCCCCTCCGAAAAAAATAAACGGTCCCAAGTTTTCTTACCACTGCATGTCATCAAAGTGTTTCCCAAAATTCTTTCTTTTTTTCATATTTGTTATTGAGTTTTGCATCAAAAAGTGGTTGTCGTTATCATTAGTATTTTGGGAGTAAGGTATTTTTACCTTATTGGAAGTTTTCCATGCCGAGCGATATTAAAAGTTTATAGTTGCATTTGACTTTTTTGCCAAAATTTTTTTGCAATAGATTTCTGTCAGAACTGAAAAAAGTTTGGAAAAATACTAAATCAGCGCCAAAAAATAAAGGGAAGGAAGGAAGGAAGGAAGGAAGGAAGGAAGGAA